TGCGTTTAGTGCATATGAATGAAGTATATTGATTTATCTTCTACCTATGGTTTGTTGTGCTTTATTGGTGCTCAACGTTTTTAACATGTTGGCATGCATATTACTAAATTTGGTCAAGCAACCCGCCAACAGATACAAAGAAGGTGAGTTTATAATGTGTAATACCCGTTTACTTTTTCTTTTTATCCTGCAATGTGCAATACTTAAATGGAATTCAGTTATTGATGTTTGTTTTATGCGGTTGAAAAAAGAATCTCAAATTTGTTGACCCCATGTACTTTTGTGTGATTGTGGGGGGGGGGGGGTCAAATGATACCACATTACTATAGTAGAACGTACCACTTCCTCTTAAGATTTCAGAAATGACATGTCATGGACAGGGTATAGAGCTCCGAAGAGTATTCTCCTTCCGTCATCGGTTGCTAAATCAGTAACGCCCAGCGTTGTGTGCGATGGAGCCCTTACCGCTGTTCACAACTGAACTCTTTATTTTATTTTAATCCTTCAAATTTGTCGGGTCAGGGATCCTTCGGTTTTGTTGGATCAGAAGTAAGAGCACCGGGACTTCAAGGACGATGTAGATTGTCGAAGGCTAAGTTGCAGAGTGCATGGGCAGCAGTACTAGAGCAAGAACCTCGTGCGTGACGCAGCTGTGGTGGTAGAGAAGCAAAACTCAACGACTAACTCTACAAGCTCTGGTCACTCTCTTAAAAATCACTAACGTAATCATATCTCACTCCATTATGCAAATCTTATTTCTGGGTTTTTGATTCCATTTCAGTACTTGTACCTTTTTACAATGCGTTTAGTGCATATGAATGAAGTATATTGATTTATCTTCTACCTATGGTTTGCTGTGCTTTATTGGTGCTCAACGTTTTTAACATGTTGGCATGCATATTACTAAATTTGGTCAAGCAACCCGCCAACAGATACAAAGAAGGTGAGTTTATAATGTGTAATACCCGTTTACTTTTTGTTTTTATCCTGCAATGTGCAATACTTAAATGGAATTCAGTTATTGATGTTTGTTTTATGCGGTTGAAAAAAGAATCTCAAATTTGGTGACCCTATGTTGCTGGTTTGATTATGACTAGCACATATGCCCGTGCGTTGAAACGGGAAAAAAGTGATGTTTTGTGCAAGCATAATGTCTCACAGCACCGGGGTCAAATGATACCACATTAGTATAGTAGAACGTACCACTTCCTCTTAAGATTTCAGAAATGACATGTCATGGACAGGGTATAGAGCTCCGAAGACTATTCTCCTTCCGTCATCGGTTGCTAAATCAGTAACGCCCAGCGTTGTGTGCGATGGAGCCCATACCGCTGTTCACAACTGAACTCTTTATTTTATTTTAATCCTTCAGATTTGTCGGGTCAGGGATCCTTCGGTTTTGTTGGATCAGAAGTAAGAGCACCGGGACTTCAAGGACGATGTAGATTGTCGAAGGCTAAGTTGCAGAGTGCATGGGCAGCAGTACTAGAGCAAGAACCTCGCGCGTGACGGAGCTGTGGTGGTAGAGAAGCAAAACTCAACGACTAACTCTACAAGCTCTGGTCACTCTCTTAAAAATCACTAACGTAATCATATCTCACTCCATTATGCAAATCTTATTTCTGGTTTTTTGATTCCATTTCAGTACTTGTACCTTTTTACAATGCGTTTAGTGCATATGAATGAAGTATATTGATTTATCTTCTACCTATGGTTTGCTGTGCTTTATTGGTGCTCAACGCTTTTAACATGTTGGCATGCATATTACTAAATTTGGTCAAGCAACCCGCCAACAGATACAAAGAAGGTGAGTTTATAATGTGTAATACCCGTTTACTTTTTCTTTTTATCCTGCAATGTGCAATACTTAAATGGAATTCAGTTATTGATGTTTGTTTTATGCGGTTGAAAAAAGAATCTCAAATTTGGTGACCCTATGTTGCTGGTTTGATTATGACTAGCACATATGCCGGTGCGTTGAAACGGGAAAAAATGATGTTTTGTGCAAGCATAATGTCTCACAGCACCGGGGTCAAATGATACCACATTAGTATAGTAGAACGTACCACTTCCTCTTAAGATTTCAGAAATGACATATCATGGACAGGGTATAGAGCTCCGAAGAGTATTCTCCTTCCGTCAACGGTTGCTAAATCAGTAACGCCCAGCGTTGTGTGCGATGGAGCCCTTACCGCTGTTCACAACTGAACTCTTTATTTTATTTTAATCCTTCAGATTTGTCGGGTCAGGGATCCTTCGGTTTTGTTGGATCAGAAGTAAGAGCACCGGGACTTCAAGGACGATGTAGATTGTCGAAGGCTAAGTTGCAGAGTGCATGGGCAGCAGTACTAGAGCAAGAACCTCACGCGTGACGGAGCTGTGGTGGTAGAGAAGCAAAACTCAACGACTAACTCTACAAGCTCTGGTCACTCTCTTAAAAATCACTAACGTAATCATATCTCACTCCATTATGCAAATCTTATTTCTGGTTTTTTGATTCCATTTCAGTACTTGTACCTTTTTACAATGCGTTTAGTGCATATGAATGAAGTATATTGATTTATCTTCTACCTATGGTTTGCTGTGCTTTATTGGTGCTCAACGCTTTTAACATGTTGGCATGCATATTACTAAATTTGGTCAAGCAACCCGCCAACAGATACAAAGAAGGTGAGTTTATAATGTGTAATACCCGTTTACTTTTTCTTTTTATCCTGCAATGTGCAATACTTAAATGGAATTCAGTTATTGATGTTTGTTTTATGCGGTTGAAAAAAGAATCTCAAATTTGGTGACCCTATGTTGCTGGTTTGATTATGACTAGCACATATGCCGGTGCGTTGAAACGGGAAAAAATGATGTTTTGTGCAAGCATAATGTCTCACAGCACCGGGGTCAAATGATACCACATTAGTATAGTAGAACGTACCACTTCCTCTTAAGATTTCAGAAATGACATATCATGGACAGGGTATAGAGCTCCGAAGAGTATTCTCCTTCCGTCAACGGTTGCTAAATCAGTAACGCCCAGCGTTGTGTGCGATGGAGCCCTTACCGCTGTTCACAACTGAACTCTTTATTTTATTTTAATCCTTCAGATTTGTCGGGTCAGGGATCCTTCGGTTTTGTCGGATCAGAAGTAAGAGCACCGGGACTTCAAGGACGATGTAGATTGTCGAAGGCTAAGTTGCAGAGTGCATGGGCAGCAGTACTAGAGCAAGAACCTCGCGTGTGACGGAGCTGTGGTGGTAGAGAAGCAAAACTCAACGACTAACTCTACAAGCTCTGGTCACTCTCTTAAAAAATCACTAACGTAATCATATCTCACTCCATTATGCAAATCTTATTTCTGGTTTTTTGATTCCATTTCAGTACTTGTACCTTTTTACAATGCGTTTAGTGCATATGAATGAACTATATTGATTTATCTTCTACCTATGGTTTGCTGTGCTTTATTGGTGCTCAACGTTTTTAACATGTTGGCATGCATATTACTAAATTTGGTCAAGCAACCCGCCAACAGATACAAAGAAGGTGAGTTTATAATGTGCAATACCCGTTTACTTTTTCTTTTTATCCTGCAATGTGCAATACTTAAATGGAATTCAGTTATTGATGTTTGTTTTATGCGGTTGAAAAAAGAATCTCAAATTTGGTGACCCTATGTTGCTGGTTTGATTATGACTAGCACATATGCCGGTGCGTTGAAACGGGAAAAAATGATGTTTTGTGCAAGCATAATGTCTCACAGCACCGGGGTCAAATGATACCACATTAGTATAGTAGAACGCACCACTTCCTCTTAAGATTTCAGAAATGACATATCATGGACAGGGTATAGAGCTCCGAAGAGTATTCTCCTTCCGTCAACGGTTGCTAAATCAGTAACGCCCAGCGTTGTGTGCGATGGAGCCCTTACCGCTGTTCACAACTGAACTCTTTATTTTATTTTAATCCTTCAGATTTGTCGGGTCAGGGATCCTTCGGTTTTGTCGGATCAGAAGTAAGAGCACCGGGACTTCAAGGACGATGTAGATTGTCGAAGGCTAAGTTGCAGAGTGCATGGGCAGCAGTACTAGAGCAAGAACCTCGCGTGTGACGGAGCTGTGGTGGTAGAGAAGCAAAACTCAACGACTAACTCTACAAGCTCTGGTCACTCTCTTAAAAAATCACTAACGTAATCATATCTCACTCCATTATGCAAATCTTATTTCTGGTTTTTTGATTCCATTTCAGTACTTGTACCTTTTTACAATGCGTTTAGTGCATATGAATGAACTATATTGATTTATCTTCTACCTATGGTTTGCTGTGCTTTATTGGTGCTCAACGTTTTTAACATGTTGGCATGCATATTACTAAATTTGGTCAAGCAACCCGCCAACAGATACAAAGAAGGTGAGTTTATAATGTGCAATACCCGTTTACTTTTTCTTTTTATCCTGCAATGTGCAATACTTAAATGGAATTCAGTTATTGATGTTTGTTTTATGCAGTTGAATAAAGAATCTCAAATTTGGTGACCCTATGTTGCTGGTTTGATTATGACTAGCACATATGCCCGTGCGTTGAAACGGGAAAAAAATGATGTTTTGTGCAAGCATAATGTCTCACAGCACCGGATTCATTATGAAGAAGATGCTGCAAGCAGCATCCTTCTACAAAATGAACATAGAAAAGATACATTGCAATTTAGCCGTGTTCATATTTTCTTTGTAGGGCATATTCTCCCACTGATTCCATTTATGAAGAAAAGGTGCATCAAGATTGGTGAAGGACACGTGGCATCTTTTGGGGAGGGTCTTATCAGATGCAATGTGAGACCAGGTCGTATAGGATTATTTTCCTTCTTATTATTCCACTGCTCTATAAAGAACCTCTCGGCCGCGGCCTCTCGCTGCCCCGAAGGCCGGCCACTTTGTCTCAGCCTTTGTCTCTCTGGTTCCCAGCCAACAAAGAAAGACCACGGCGAGTCGGCGACGGTACACGGAACCAATCGCATGGGCCTCCTCGACCAGCTCTCGGACGACACGGTCGCCGGCCCGCGGCCGGACCACGGTCTCGGCAGGCTCCGAAAGTACTCCTCCTTTTCGCCCTCCTCGTCAGCCGCGCCGACCACGGACGTCCAGCCGACGGTGACCCGCAGCATCAGCATCTCCCGGCCGCCGTCTCTCTCACCCCCGTCCGGCGAGTCGACTTCCTTGCCGTCCTCCCCGGCCAGTGCGCCGGACTCTCCGTTCGCAGCAGGTGGGTCTCCGCCTCTGTTTCTTGGCCTCTACCTATGATTTCGTTCTTTGATTAGGATCGGTGTGTGACTCTGTCTCTGTGTGCCGCTCATCGACCGTGACCGCTTCTGTTGTATCTGCGATATGTTGATCCGTGGGTATGGGGCAAGAAGAACATGAACTTTTGCTTAATACATCATGGCTTGTTGCTCGAGCTCGATCCAGCCACAGAATCAGATATGTGCCCAATTCTGTTGCAGACGCAGAGTTCTATCTGAAATCAGTCGTTTCCTCTGAAATTCCTCCTCGTTAAACTGTTCTTCTATCCGAAACTTTATTCAGAAAAGTTATGCCAAGTTGTGGACACTGCATCAGTGGTTAATCTGCCTGAACTGTTGCAGGTAGCAGTAGCACGCCGAGGGTGGACGGCTGGAGGGCGTTCCGCCGGAAATCCAAGATGGCCAACGTCGACGTCGTCCGGGAGGAGGCGACCGTCGGGCCCAGGAGCCCCATTGTGTACGACTGGTACGATTTAAACGTCACCTTCACTCTCACTCCATGCTCCTTGCACCATACCAATTGTTAGCGAGGGAAAGGAGGGAGTAATGCACCGTAGTGCTTGCCGATCTATTAGCTCTGCATATATACAGTTCGAGTACATCCGTTGTGCAATCGTGCGCATGATCGTGCGCCTAGTGCGCAGAGAGGGGGAAGACTAGGTCATGTCTAGAGAGAACTAGTCAACCAGCAGATATCCGTTGACACCCCGCCGCAGGTTGAGCGTCCGGTGGCCGGATGCACAAACTGGACCGAAATTCTTCGAAGGCAGCAGCGGGTAGGCCCTTCGTCATCATGTCGGCAAATTGCTGCGCCGTCGGAACGTGTAGAACACGGAGTTCACCGAGCGCCACCTTCTCCCGGACAAAATGTATGTCGAGCTCGATGTGCTTGGTGCGCCGGTGATGGATGGGGTTGGCTGCCATGTAGACACTGGAGATGTTGTCACAGTACACGACTGTGGCCTTGGGGACGCTGACGTGTAGCTCGCCCAGGAGCTGCCGGAGCCAGCAGCATTCGGCGACGACGTTAGCGACAGAACGTTACTCGGCCTCTGCACTCGATCGGGAGACCGTGGCTTGGCGCTTCAAGTACCAGGAGATCAGGGCGTCGCCGAGGAAGATGGTGTAGCCGGAGGTGGAGCGGCGTGTGTCGGGGTAGCCTTCCCAGTCTGCGTCCGAGTATGCGACGAGGTCGAGCACATGGGAGCGATGAAGATGAAGGTCGTGCGACGTCGTCCCCCGCAGGTACCGGAGTATGCGCTTGACCAGAGCCAAGTGTTGATCCCGAGGGTCATGCATATGAAGGCATGCTTGTTGGACGGCGTAGGCGAGATCGGGGCGAGTCATGGTGAGGTATTGGAGCGCCCCGACCAAGCTCATGTACTCCGAAGGATCAGTGACTAGTGCAGCATCAGACGCGGACAGCTTGGCGCGCGTGTCCACTGGCGTCGGCGAGGGCTTGCACTCGACCATGTTGGCACGGTCAAGAAGCTCCTCTGCATATTGGCGCTGTGACAAGAAAAATCCGGAGCTGCTGCGCGTGACGCTGATGCCGAGGAAGTAGTGGAGGGAGCCAAGATCCTTCATCAAGAACTCGGCGAAGTGGCGCTGCTGGATGTGGTGAAGAAGGCGGCTCGACGAGGCGGTGAGGACGATGTCGTCGACGTACAAGAGAAGGTACGCCAGGCCGCCGTCGTGGGAGTACACGAACAACGACGGATCAGCGCGCGCCGCCGTAAAGCCGACCGCACGGAGGAAGGCGGCGAATCTGTCGGACTAGGTGCGTGGGGCCTGCTTGAGGCCGTACAACGACTTGTCGAGGAGGCAGACGTAGTCGGGGTGGTCGTTGTCGACGAAGCCGGCCGGTTGTTGACAGTAGACACGCTCGGCCAGTTGTCCGTGGATAAAGGCATTGTTCACGTCCATTTGATGGACGGCCAGTCTCGCGACACGGCAATGGCAAGCACGGCACGAATGGTGGCATACTTGACGACAGGGCTGAAAGTTTCGTCGAAGTCCACACCGCACCACCCATCGAGCTTTGTACCGTTCCAGCGAGCCGTCCGCCTTGAGCTTGTGACGGAACATCCATTTCCCGGTGACAATATTAGCACCAGGGGGCGTGGCACCAGCGTCCAGGTTTTGTTCGCCATCAACGCCCTGTACTCTTCCTGCATAGCTGTTAGCCAGAACGGGATCGCGCAATGCCGTGCACACGGTTTTTGGTATGGGATAGATGGTGGTGACTTGTGCTTGGAGTGCGTACTTGGGATTGGGCGGGAATATGCCGCGGACACCACGAGTGGCCATGCGATGCGTACGGGCGAGTGGTGCAGGAGGCTGTGGTTGCTGGGCAGGTGGGGATGGTGTGTTGGTCGGCAGAGGCGAGGGTTCTGGTGTGCACGGGGAGGGCTCTGGTGTGGGCGATCGACATGGTGGGTCGTGAGGGGCGGGCGCTGGCGGGGACGGGCACGAGGACGATGGCGACGCCGGTGCTGGGGTGGGTGGTAAGATGGTGGGACGAGGGACTGGCGGCTGATATGTATCATCGTCAGCAGTAGTCAGGGGGTGTGTCGTAGGTGCAGGAGTGTGATAGGGGAAGGTGAAGGAAATATGCCCTAGAGGCAATAATAAAGTTATTATTTATTTACTTATTTCATGATAAATGTTTATTATTCATGCTAGAATTATATTAACTGGAAACATAATACATGTGTGAATACATAGACCAACATAGTGTCACTAGTATGCCTCTACTTGACTAGCTCGTTAATCAATGATGGTTAAGTTTTCTAACCATAGACATGAGTTGTCATTTGATTAACGGGGTCACATCATTAGGAGAATGATGTGATTGACTTGACCCATTTCGTTAGCTTAGCACTTGATCGTTTAGTATGTTGCTATTGATTTCTTCATGACTTATACATGTTCATATGACTATGAGATTATGCAACTCCCGTTTACCAGAGGAACACTTTGTGTGCTACCAAACGTCACAACGTAATTGGGTGATTATAAAGGTGATCTACAGGTGTCTCCGAAGGTACTTGTTGAGTTGGCGTATTTCGATATTAGGATTTGTCACTCCGATCGTCAGAGAGGTATCTCTGGGCCCATTCGGTAATACACATCACTATAAGCCTTGCAAGCATTGTAACTAATGAGTTAGTTACAGGATGATGTATTACGTAACGAGTAAAGAGACTTGTCGGTAACGAGATTGAACTAGGTATTGAGATACCGACGATCGAATCTCGGGCAAATAACATATCGATGACGAAGGGAACAACGTATGTTGTTATGCGGTTTGACCGATAAAGATCTTTATAGAATATGTAGGAGCCAATATGAGCATCCAGGTTCCGCTATTGGTTATTATCCGGAGACATGTCTCGGTCATGTCTACATAGTTCTCGAACCCGTAGGGTCCGCACGCTTAACGTTCGGTGACGATTTGTATTATGAGTTTATGTGTTTTGATATACCGAAGGTAGTTCGGAGTCCCGGATGAGACCGGGGACATTACGAGGAGTCTCGAAATGGTTGAGACGTAAAGATCGATATATTGGACGACTATATTCGGACATCGGAAAGGTTCCGAATGATTTGGGTATTTTTCGGAGTACCGGAGAGTTACGCGTATTCGTCAGGGAGTATATGGGCGTTATTGAGCTTTAAGGGAAAGAGAATGGAGAGGCTACGCATCCCCCAATGCTTAGTCTGAATTGTACTAGGGGGAGGGGCGGCGCCCCCTCCTTCCTTCTCTTCTACTCCTACTACTTGGAAGGGCTCCTAGTTCTACTAGGAAAGCGGGAATCCTACTCCCGGTGGGAGTAGGACTCCCCGAGGGCGCGCCATAGAGAGGGCCGGCCCTCCCCCTCCTCCACTCCTTTATATACGGGGATGGGGGCACCCCTTGGAGACACAACAATTGATCATTGATCTTTTAGCCGTGTGCGGTGCCCCCCTCCACCATAATCCACGTCGGTCATATCGTAGCGGTGCTTAGGCAAAGCCCTGCGCCGGTAGCATCATCATCACCATCATCACGCCGTCATGCTGTCAGAACTCTCCCTCGAAGATCTGCTAGATCGGAGTTCGTGGGACGTCATCGAGCTGAACGCTTGCTGAACTCGGAGGTGCCGTACGTTCGGTACTTGGATCGGTCAGATCGTGAAGACGTATACTACATCAATCGCGTTGTGCTAACGCTTCCGCTTTCGGTCTACGAGGGTACGTGGACACACTCTCCCCTCTCGTTGCTATGCATCATCATGCTCCTGAGTGTGCGTAGGATTTCTTTGAAATTACTACGTTCCCCAACAGTGGCATCCGAGCCTAGTTTTATGCGTAGATGTTATATGCACGAGTAGAACACAAGTGAGTTGTGCGTGATACAAGTCATACCGCTTACCAGTATGTCATACTTTGGTTCGGTGGTATTGTTGGATGAAGCGGCCCGGACCAACATTACGCGTACGCTTACGCGAGACTGGTTCTACCGACGTGCTTTCCACATAGGTGGCTGGCGGGTGTCAGTTTCTTCAACTTTAGTTCAACCGAGTGTGGCTACGCCTGGTCCTTGAGAAGGTTAAAACTACACTAACTTGATGAACTATAGTTGTGGTTTTGATGCAGGGACGGAGCCAGTATGAAATGCGAGAGGGGGCAAATATGTAGTATAATTTTTTTTCCAGAGAACTATATACGAACTAATGGCTGGATCACTTAAAACCCCAACCACACAAGCACATATATAGTGTGTACGAAGTAAAGTCATATATTTCATGAATATACTTATGAAAAGTTCATTCCCAAAGTAAATGTAAACTAACCACTTAAGGCACAAAAACTTGAGAAATCAATATGGCGTTCCTTTTTATTCATACGCCCCAAATTTCTAAGCTTCAAGCTGCATGGAAAAGAAACATCTTTAAATATGAGAGAATGTAAATACTGATAAATAAATAAAATAAGCTTGAGAACATTACCTCCTTCCGTTTCATCCCACGTCGGCTTTTCACATGAAAACGTTTAACTATCACCTCATTAGTAATATTATCTAGCATTTCCTTTTCTACGAAGCAAATAAGGCTATTGCTCAAATAATCATCACCCATCTTGTTACGTAAAGCATTCTTCACAAGCTTCATTGCGGAGAAGCATCTCTCAACAGTTGCAGTGGCAACAGGAAGAGTCAGTACTAATTTCAAAAGTCGATAGACAAGAGGATAAGAAAAGTGCTTTTTCATAGATACCATCAGTTTAGCCAGATCATTGATAGTTTCCAAGCTAGCAAATCTTGTATCATTGCGTACATTATCTATGTACGGGCAAAGCTCCTTCTCAAGATGCTCCAACTCAGTATCACTAAAGTCATTAGGATAAAACTTAGCCAACTTCAACAACTTCTCATGATCATAGTGACTAAACTGACCGCTTGGGTTGAAAGCAGACATACAA